CAGAATATTTTCCGCATCATTTGTTGGTGGTTTATCTGCAAATCACGTCAAGTCAATTGCTGCCATTCCCTAATGAGCAATGACTTCCAACCCAACTGAGTATTTTTTTTTTTTTTTTGTATTTTTTTTGTCCATGTTCAATTGGGAGGTAAAAGGTAATTTTAATAGAGTTCACCTATAAAAAGCGGGTTTAAATCACAATATGTTTAAGTGATTGATACAAATATGAGAGTTTGTAAAATCAAAGACATTATGCAATTCTTTAATTTGAAACACAACCTGACCTTTTTTTTTTTTTTACGCAACACATTGTGAATTTAATTATTCTCTCACATTAAATACTCATTCTCCATTTCCTCAAAATTGCCACAAAATTTGTACATTATAGATTCAAAAAATTTTATAGAAATAAAATAAACTAACTTAAAAGCGACAAAAATATGTGGTAAATACCTTGTATTTCTATTTGTCACAAGGATAAAGTGCATAAAAAAGGGAAAAATTTTTGAAACCTCTTCTAAGATTTCTGAAGATTTCACCTAGTGCCCTCTAAATTCAACAATTACACGGACCACCCTTGTATTTATTGTTTTGGTAACAAAATCTTTGAAAGGTCACAAAGTTCACATAAAAATTCTAAATTACCATTCTTTTTTTTTTTAAAGTTGTCTTATATTATTCTCTCTGCCACCAAAATTCACGAACACTACCATTTTTCTACCTCCACAACCACCACCAAGGTTGCCTCTATTACCACTATCACAGGGTAACAACCAGAGCCCTGAGGGAAACTAAATGTCATAGAAAATTCTCTAGTACTCCTTTCTTTCTACCACTGGGGCCATCGCTCACAATTCCATCCGTATTACTACTATCATAATACAAAGGCACATGTTGACAGACAAAAATAAAAAACATATGGAGATGCTAAAAAAAAATCACATCTCTTTCCATACTATGGTTTTTACATGCACCTCTATATTGATTACCTTCGATATATTTTCAATTTTTCCAATAAGTTTTTCTAATTTTTTTTCTTTTCTTTCCCTCTTTTAAGAATAGTTAGTAAATACTCATATTATACCCCATATATTTACTACTTTTTTGTCATCTTTCTTTAAAAAATATTTACATTAATAGTGTACAAGACTTAATTCATTATTCGACAAACTCTTTTTTTGGTGCCAAATTATTTGATTTGTTATCAATATACAGAACTGGTGAAAATTTAGAAATTGGTAGGACTAAATATGCCTTCAGGGAAACTTTAAAGACGAAAATTGTCCAAACCCCAAAACATTTGTTATTCCCATTTGACAAATTTTCAATTGGTTTGGTGATTTTCTATCAAACATTTTATATTAATTTGAATTACAAAAAAGAGGGTGGAAGTTCTACGGTAGCATAAATCAGTAAATCAACCAACTGATAGCGAGTGAACATTTCCATTAATTGAATCTCGAATATGTCTCCAAGGATTTTTTTTTCCCACAAAACATACAGATTTTCCCACGGCGTATGGCGACTTTCATTGACGACCTAACTTATTATTCAATACATTAACAAAAATCGTTCAAGACGGTTAACCTGACAACGATCCCTATCCCAAGTCGTCGATGGACTGGTTCATACTGATAATTCTGATGAAAAACAAAATATACACATCGCTCGAGAGCAGGAGCCGGGATCCTCTGTCCAATATTTTGTGTCCAGGTGTAGGCGGTCAATTTTCCATGAAGACTTTTAGGTAGTCGTCTTTATCAGCAATTTCTACTAACATTTAAATGAACCACCCATCTGGGGTAGCTTTATCAAATATCCGGTGCCAAATAACATCCAATTGGGCATCTTCTTGGTACTTATTCATCTGTACTACAGCTCTCCCTTATTCAGTTCTATTCAAGTCTCCAGCCAATTCCCATTTGGCAGTAGTAATCAATCTTATAATTATTTAGATCTTTACTAGCATATTGTACATGAAAAAATGTTAAAATTTATTAGCAAAGTCATAAATTTTGTTTGAAAAAGTAGCAAGTTTTGTCAAAAAAAAAAAGGGAAGTTTTGTTCAAAAAATAGAAAGGCTTTTGTTAATGATATACGAAATTTTACTAAAAAAGTGGTAAGATTTGTTAATAAAGTCATAAGTTTTTCTTGAGAAATCGTATGTTTTATATAAAAAAAATATTAAGTTTTGGGAAAAAATGGTAATTTTTGCTGAAAAATCTAATAAGATTTAATATTTAAATAGCAAGTTACAATAACTAATAAAAGTTATTTGTTTTGTGCAAATTTACTATCACAATTTGATTGCCATTCTCACGACGATCTCAAGATTGTCATTCCATGCCAAATTTCTCCTCTGCCGCTGGTTTTATTTAGCCTCCTCATAGCTATAATTTTTAGAGACAATTAATTGGAACAACACAAAATGGAATTCTAAATTACTCAGGAATGTATTGTTAGATTGTCTATGAGAGATACCTTTTTTTTCCCAACTTAGCAAACCAAAATTTTCATCTATGTCATTCTAAGCATAACAGGATATTTATTCTTATTTAGAAAGTACACGTGCTCCAAATTTGTCTGAATTATGATCAACTAAAATTAGCTATTTTGATTTATGAAATCAAAGTATAATGAATAAATAATAACATTACAAGTAAAAAAAAGCAAATTTCACGGAATTAAAAGATGATAAACCAAAATTGATGGAATGACATTGCACGAACTATTGTTTGATTGAGTAAGGTGTCCTCATGGCTTCTACTTTTTAATCCTCCTAACAATTATTGCTACATTTTAATTGTCATCGATGATTTTTCTTAGTGATTTTGTGAAATGTAAGGGTTGAAAAAAATTCATTTTATTAAATGTGAAGGACTATCAATCAGATTATGTGAAATATGATTTGACAATTTTTTCCCTCAAACATGATCACGTGCAGGGCACGTGGTGAATTACAAACAAAAATTAGTTGGAAACTTAGGTAGGGACAAAATTTAACTGATATAAATTTATAAAAGACGTAAAATTACTTTTTTAGAATGAGAGACGGAAAAAATCATTTTACAAAAATGTGAGTAACGATTTCAACGATTAAAATTATTTTACAAAAGACGTAAAATTACATTTCATCCCTCACACATGCTGAAGACTGGGAATTAACCAATTATTGCTATTTGATACAGCCTGCTCTACATGTTTTTGAGTGGGAGTATTCGTCAATTTTTCCTCGCATTCAATGGCATAGGGGGTACTCATTGTCCAAGGTGACTTATCTATGATCGTGAAGAGATGACTTATCATGCTTGGCACTAGAGACATGAAGTTTTTTAACTCCACCTGTGTTGACACAATACATCACACAGCCGGTCCCAAGTCCGGATGAAGGAGGAGGGATTTTTTTTTATGTTTTAGAAGGCAGCTCTTAGTGTACGTTCCCAAAATCCTTCTGCGCAGATTATATATGAAAGGTTGGTGAATGCGAGTTTTTTTGTTTCATTCTTCTTGGTAGTGCTGAATTTCTGGTCTTCATTTCATATTTGATCTGGATTTTAGCATCTATCCCGGGTTATGATCCAATCACATTTCTTTCATTCTTTTACTTTGCTTTGTTTTACAACCGCACTTTACTTTTTCATAGTTTGTATACTTGTTCACATAAATCTGTTATGTGTTAGAGCAGATAATGAACTGCTTTTACTGCAAGTAATCAACATGCACTAGTACGTTTGGCATTGGAAATTGACAGGAACTTTTAAGCTGGTTCTCTTCTGTTCATTCAGTCACCTGAATTGTGTTGTAATATGTTCTTAAGCTCACTTGCTGTTGCAAAGGTAATGAACTTTGTTTCATCTCATGCTGATCTTTCATACATGTGTAGTTTATATCGGCAAACTATGATACGGAAAAAAGGTTACGCTACTGATATTTCAGACACAAGTTGTACTATTTGGTGTGGCCGAAGTCTGACCGTAGATTGGCTTTCGTATCTTGAATTTCTTTCCCAAATTCGTGTGCTATAGGTAGATTTGCAGCACCATTTTAGTCAGAACAGATGTGTAGAGCGAAGTGATGCTGATTACTTTCTAATTTTGCAATTCTTGGCAGGGATAATTCTATGGGATCAGTCTAATGCAACTTTGTATTGTTACAGTTTAATTAAATGAACAAGCTTTTATAGAACCCGTGGACTCACATATGGATTTGAAGTCCCGTGTAGATTAGAAATTCTGTGAGTGGAAAGATGTCTTTCTGGCAATGTTATTGATTTTGGAATTTGTGGCAGGGTCTCCTGGCTGTTTGGTGATAGCCTGCAGACGCAGTTCTTTGCTCTTCAATCAACACTTCAAATTTTCCTCAATTATGATGGTTTTATGTGATTAAAGAATGATAATGCAAACAGGGTATGTGAACTATTGTATACTAGGCCGAATTCAAAGAGAAGAATGTGATTCAGGAAAAGAAAATATTGTAAATCAGGTCTTAATGCTCATTGGTCTCAAGTACTGAAAAATGTTCACAGATATATATATATATATGTATATATATATATAGGCTCAAGCTTATGGACCATTCCTTGACCAGTACATAAACTGATTATTGTATACCAGCATTTTTATAGAGCTTTAAGAAGTTTTCAGAATTAACTTGACAGTTTACTGATTTGACATAGCCAAATTGCAGATTGAAGGGGGCAAGATTTTGTTGTTCAAATCATCAACTTGATCTACTAGCTAGTAGCTTATTTTCAAACCTGCACTGAGAGTTGACCATCAATGCTTCTTGCCCTCTTCCTAAGCCCGTGAAGGTGAATTTCTCAATCAAGCCGGTCACAGCACTCAATATTGGCATGAAAAATATAACCATGCCAAGCAGGACATGCCATGGTGCAAAATTTGCTCTAGTCGTGGAGTCTCTGGCTCAGAACCAAAAGGTAAAGAAGCCAAACAGCCACTGACAAAAAAAGTTCAGAATCTTCCATTATATTCTGGCTCTAGTTGTTTTAATAAACTTGTTCTTATTTTTTCATGCATACAAGTCGTATTACCTGTTCTTACAGACAAATCCCCACCCTCTTCATTTTTTTTGTAGATTTGCAGGTCGTCATACATGTTAATTTATCTGTACGAGCATGTGTATAAACTAAAATACCAGACTTAAACTATTACCAGGTTCTCCAAAGTCATCGGCCGCATCTTTCCTCTGCAAACTGTTGCCAAGTTCCTCCTCTGTACTTACAGATATTCTCGTCTTCTTAGCTGACATATTCTCATCCAACCTTTCAGAACCTTCAGCATTTAGAATACTCAAAGATCTGACATACTGCAAAGCATATTTAATCGTACAACTGGTCAACATCTCACAGAACATAAACGCAACTTGAATTAACTTATTTAGTTTTACATACACAAGGAGGTATGTAAGAAAATGTACTGCAATTACAGGTAACAAGACACCAAGCTGATTTCTACACTTTACACCTTTTCGATGCAAGCAGGTTTCCCATTGAGATAGTTCAGATATATGAAATTGGATGAATCAATCAGATCATCTATAAAAAAAAAGAAAAAGAAAAAAGAAAAGATGGTGAAGAAATATCATGCATGCTGATTGTGCACAAGTTCAGTAGCATAAGTATATAAAAGCCATAGGCTATTATCTTCAAGAATTACATTTCATTAAACTGCAATTTCTCTACTAATAATCATATCAAACAATTATGTCAGAATTCTGCCCCTGGACCATCTGTTGTACAATAAATTTCTGATTATCCTTGTGCTAATTGTCACTCTTTTAGCCAAGATTTCATAAATTAATACAGCTATCAAGATAGAACCGGGTTAGCAAAAAAGTTGTAGAAAGAAGCATTGTTCTAAGATCAGAAGTGCTAAAAGTCAATCAAATTTTGAAAAAAAAATAATGAAAAGAAAAAGTAAAGAATGACGATAGATCACCACCAGCTAGCCAGACTCACTTCATTTCTCCACTATTTTCCAAGAGAAAACAGTTTACATAGAATAGCCAGTAAGAAAAGATTATCTATATTTGACACATAATTCTATTATCTCCATAGGAGGATTCAGAGGGATTCTCATCTTTAAAAGTCAATAGTTCGATTTGGTAGCAGATATTTCTGTTCTCATGGAATTCTTCAGGTTTCAATCAGCAATCAGGATATAAAAGTCTTCTATAGCTGCAACTGATGGAAGTAGAAGAATACAGATAGTTATTGATGCATATGAAAATAACATGAGATTTGGAGAATATGCAAGGTTGTCCACTGTAGGAGTGATGTATCAGATCTCTATGTTGGCAGTTTGAAAAGGAGAACTGGTACAAAATAGTATCCCCATGGACGCAACGGTTTCTAAATTTCTTCTTCCCTACTTCTGTTCTAATTTTCTGCACCAATTGTATCCTAGAGCCCTATTTAGCGCACAAATTCAGCAACTCGCTATTCCAACAACACAGAGCATGCTTCAAGCTTAAGACCCATGCCTAGATAACAAAGCACTTCCCCAGCTTTTGAAATCCATTAGAAGTACACTAAAATAGCTTCTGACGTACACAGGCTGCTGATCAGTAAAAATTGTCCTGAACTCTTTTAACTAATAGTCTTAAAAGCAGCAAACTCATTCACACAAAATTTGAACACAAGCTTTTAACACTGAATGTTATTTGACAGTGGGGAAGACAGGTTGAACTCTTACTTTCACATTGGTGTATATTCAAGGACGGGAAAAGAAACTACCACATGCAATGGAAGATGAGAGTAAAAAGTCAGGAAGAAAGCCACATATGACACAAAGGTTTAGGACATCACTTCCAAGACAAAGATGCATAAAAAATTCACCAGTGAAAAACTTAAATAACTCCTTCATGGATGGCCTAACAAACCTGGGTCTGTGGGGTGTGTGTACAATAGTACATGCAATATGTACTGGGCTTCAGCTCAGCCCTGGGGACCAGAATATCTTATGACAGGAAATTGAGGTGATGAATCCCAACATTCCAATTAAAAGCCCTTCCAACAAAGTCAACGAATAAGCCTATGGTCTCAAACAATGGCTGAAGTGTCCTCCACTGTCAGTTTACCCAATACCCATAAGCTACTAAAGCACCATAAATTTTGAGTCTACTGAAATATGTAGAATTTAAATTTTTAATAAATAATCGAGATCCTAAAAAGATTACCCATTCTTCAAAGTGGGTAAATTGGATCTTCAGCCAAGTTCCCAAGAATATTAAAATTTACTCTTCCCTTAAACTCTTCATTGGTTGCATCAGTCGTGAATATTGATGGCATTCATAAAAAACGAATGGAACGCATAATGTATGAATATATCAACATCAGTTTGAAGCCCTAAGAAAACATTCAGCACACACAGCTTGCAAGTACCAGATGCACACCTCCCCATTCTCCAAGTTGGTTTGTCGTTTGTCTTCCCTTTGCAACGAGAGAGGTCCAAGAAATAAAAACGATACAGGCTTTGGAGAGGACTTCAAATATAACTGAAACTCATTCATTTCTTTCACATAGTGATAAGCCTCAGCAACACTTGGCCTCTGGTGTAAATATATCCAAAAACAATTCCAAACAAGTTGTCTGCCACAAGATTTTAAGCTAACTCTAAATTGTCCACTTATTATTTGGGCCCTAGAAGAGTGGAACATCTCATGCCTATACAAGTCCCTTTAGGTATGAATGAAAGACAATTATCTAAAGCTGCTGCAATGGAGAATGCCTTTTTGATATTAAAAGCAAACTGAAGCTTATATATCTATTTCTTGAGAACTCAAAATAGGTGATTGGCAATCAGCTATATATTTCATGCATATAATATCTGATGTCTCAAATGCCGAACAAAATTGGACTAATGGTCTTCTCCTTCCAGAAATATGATCACTTAAGACCATATCATTCTTTAGAGAAATATAACGATACACTTATTAAATTGCTTTTATATTTAAAAATTTTTCTTACGGCAGAAAATATTGCATTTGTTCTATCTATTGTTTATGATTTATTTTCAAAGAAAACAATGAAAAGGTTCCGTATTAGTAAGGTGAATTTGTGCTTAACCTGTATCAGTTATGTGCTCAAGCTTAAGCTAAGGTTACTATGTATCCATAAGCCTCTTCAAATTCAAGGAAATTGGTAAGTCATATATATATATATATATATATATATTCTGGAAAGCTGTGAGTGATTAACCAGTGCTGCATTTTGGATGTCGGACCATGTCATTTACTCAAGAAGGCACAACAGACTTAAGCAGTCACTTGATTGAACCAAGTGACAAATGACAGTGTGTAAGCAAAACATGTTGAATAAGACTTGTAAACAAGGACTAAACCATACTAATCTGTGACCCAAAAATGCACAGGCTACAAATAAATGGATGAAGTGGAAGATCATATGAAAAAAAAATTTGAAGCCAGCTACTAGACTCAGATGTTAATAACCTATCGGCAGGATAATTGACATCTTATCCTTCTGTTTGTCTGCAAACTGAAATCTTAATCAAGTTTAGAACCCAAAAATCATCAATGTTTTTCCTAGACTAAGTTCAACAGATGGAAATAGTGTTGCGTGCATAATTTTGCCATTATTCTCACAAATGAAGACTATTAGTATTACACTTCATTTCCAAAAAGTTATCACGTTTAAAACGGTAAACAACTTTAGTTAGTTTGTTTTTCCCCCATCAACACCTATTGCATTTGAACAAACAACATGCCTGTGCCTACCTTCTGCATAGCTCGCCCAATTCTCCAAACTTCATCAGTTTTATCAATTTGTTGCCATCCCATTTGCTGTTTACTTATGCTTAATCATTCAAACATCTATTCCATAAAATTGCTACTCTTCGTCTTAAACCAAAACAATTACAGATGCAAACACATTACACCGCCCAGTTCTCCAAACTTCATCAGTTTTATCAATTTGTTGCCATCCCATTTGCTGTTTACTTATGCTTAATCATTCAAACATCTATTCCATAAAATTGCTACTCTTCGTCTTAAACCAAAACAATTACAGATGCAAACACATTACACCGGTAATTCAAGCCCGCTACAGTCTTATTCACTTACAAAAACCCCAAGTTCCCAAACTTGCCCAGAATTTAAGAATCCCATAAAACCAAGTTCACTAAACCAATTTAACTGTCCTGATTCTGAAGTCAGCATGAATTTTCTTTATGTCTAAAATTTCCTTATTGTGACATTATTCCAAAGAACTGACAAGAGACAAAACCAGCAGAATTCATTACCTTTTCAAAAATTGACATGGCTTCTTTTGTTGCACTCTTCTCCCTCTCTACATAACAAAGGAAGCATTTTTATCAATCACCACACTGCCCGGACTATCCCAAACAATCAAATTGAAAATTTTCAAAAAACCCAGAAGCAAATTACATAAATAAATGCCAATAAAGTACAAAAATAACAAAAAAAACATAACTTTCTGGACAGGAGATGGGATGAGAGGCCTTACTGATGGGGCAGGTGATGAGGAATCCGGAGTGGGAATGACTGAGGAGAGAAGAAGAGGCATTGTAGTCAAAACGAGGAATGGTGATCACAACAGAGTGCTGCTCCCAGGGCTTCAGCTCCTCTTTTCAGTTCCAATTCTTTTGCTTTTTCTTCTGTTTTTGCTGTCACAAATTTTTCAGCCACTCTTTTTTGAGTCTATCGGTGTTTCATTCCCAGTATTATTGAGTTAATGGATTGCAATCTGTATGGCAAAGGATATTTATATTTATATTTCGCCCCCTCTTTTGTATGGCAAATGAGGATTTATACCCTAGTTCTTCCACTTACTTTACTGATAAAATGTGATTTATGCTAAATGATTTAGGCCTTGTTTGATAATCCAATTTAACACTTAAATTTAATGGATTCAGATCTGAACATCTTCAGATGCATTTGATAACCAAAAATAGAATGTCTAAATTAACTAAGTGGCATTGAATTTTTTACGCAAAACTTGAAATATTAAATTTGAACTCTGAATCAGTTAAGCTATTAAATTGCTAAGTACTAAATGTGACACATTTGAGGGTATATCAAAATGAAATATTAAATTTAAAGTCTGAATTCATTAATTTATTGAATTGTTAAATATTAAATGTAATACATTTGAGTGTATATCACATTAAGTGATAAATGAATAACTTATCACCTATTTTTGGAGCAAGTTTTACCTGGAAATTTAGTGTCATTTTATTTTTCGAAGCCAATTTTGCCTAGAAAATTCAGTGTCATTTAATTAATTCAGATGTACAATTTTTTGGTTATCAAATGCACTTGAACATGTTAATATCTAAATCCATTAACTTTAAGTGTTAAATTGAGTTATTAAATAGGAGTTAATACTTAACAATTCAACAACTTAATTTAATGGAATTCAGACTTCAGACTTCAATTTTCAAACTTTAATTTTATCAAATGCACTCTCCTTTTACCCAAATCCTACCAAACAAGATTTTTCTACATATTACCACCCTCACAATTTACAAAGCCATTTTAACAATTGAATCTATTAACCGATGTCAGTCGGTTTGGACCATTATGTGATATCAAAGGTGAAAAAAATCACATGTGTGCACAAAAATAAAACCAAAAAAAGGTGTAGATTTTTCTTTTGGAAAAAGGGAGAATTGTAGTTTTAGTCTCCAATTTTTAGATTAAGTGCTAAATTAGTCTTTAATGTTCTGATCAAAATAAATTTGGTTCTCAAAGTTTTTGGTAGTAGGTACATTCTACAATGATGAAAACTCAACAATGACTAATAGTTAAAATTTAATTATTGTTATTTAACAATTTTGACTTTGTACTTTTGGATTGAAATTTTAATCATTTTAGTTGCTTAAGTTTTCACATAGTGATATTAAGGGTATTAGGACAAAATAAGACGCGAATCACAACGCAATTGTCTCAAATTGGTACTAGCAATTCTAATCAAACTTTTTTATTTTTTACTTCATTTATTCATGCCACTAATGTCTCATATACTTCTTCCCTTTGGTATACTTGGTCTCAAACTTAGTATTATATATGTAATTATTGTTTTACCCCTTTCTTACTCATTTTGAGAGGGAAACGGATTAGCATGAAAATCTGAGGCAATCCTTCTAGGACTATCAATGGGGCTAAGTTAGTTTGAACTCGGCTCCGAGAAAAAGTCTAATGAGTCTAACCTTCATTGAGTTGGATTGAAATTGGATCTAAATATTAGTTCCAAATTAAATGTGAGCAGAGTTTGGGCCTTATTAGGGTCAAACCCGATATAGGCTCGACCCTTTAATATGCATATATATATAATATTCATATTTTGATATATATAATTATATATCTAAATATATAATACTAATACTTATGAGTTATTTGTCAAAATATATTAATATATATATATATATATATACGTAATATTACATATACAAAATTATGTCAAAAGATTTAGAAGGACAAATCTTAGTACGAGCAAATTGAGGACCTTTGAAGATATATTAACTATTGATCATGTTTTATTTCTATTTTCCATGTACATTGAATTAATTGGATATATTATTGTTGAAAAATTCTTGGTTTATATACTTTTTAATGAATTGTTACCGATTCTTGTATAGTTTTAATGTTGTGGTCCTATGGATATTAAATTAGTTTAAAACTTAATAATTATAGTAATTACATTAAGTAAATTAAGGAGTTATAAGTGAGTTTGATTTAAGTCCGAATTAAACTCACAATCTGAATATTTTGTGAGTCAAGTGCGAGTTTCATATTTATCAATCCAAAACTCATAATTCGAAATCCAAAAGTGGTACTAACTACTAACTATAAAAGCGAACCTGAGTTTGTTAAACCTCGATTCAAATGGCCCAATTGATAGGCCTAAGTCCTTTCCTTCTTTTGATTTAAATGAAATTAAATTTAAACCTATAGTTTAGTACTCATATTCCTTTGTACCAAAACACCCTTTTGACCTTTGAAAAAAATTACCCAAAATACTACAAGTTATCTTCACCTGGATTAGAATTATTTCAAGTAATCTTGAATGTCAAGTCACATAATCGATTTTGTTGTCTAGGTTCTATTTTTCTTTTTTAGTTTTTTATTCTAATTGTAAAAAAAAAGGTTCTAATCGCAATGCTACTATGATTGATCATGGAAGTATATTGTTTGGATTGCATTTTCTAGAAGGGTATATTGTAATACTTTTTTAGATATGATATATATAAAATAAAAAGTTCATTAAAAAATGTATCAAGGAAATATTCCCAAAAAACATGAGATTTTTGTCTAGAATGGCAATCCAAAAAAAGCCAGTATATTGGCATACTACTGCAAATTGTCCTCTTTTCTACAAATATATTTTTTTTATAACTTAAACTATCCAAAAAAAAAGATCTCTAATCAAAATATTGAATTGTTATGTTCAAACTTGTAACATATATGCTTCTAATAAAACAAAAAAAATAATGAAAAAGATCAATTTTTAAAAACATTACCTATGAAAGATAGAAGCAATTGATAAAATTCAGGAATTCTTCCAGACTTGTGGTTTTCAAATATCATTGATTTCCTCTAGTTTCATGTGATCTAGTAGGCCCTTGCAATTTTAATCTTTTGCCATTGCTAGAAAATGTACAATGGTAGGGAAAGAACGGTGTTGGTAGTGAAGAAAGAGGCAAAGGAACTCTTTTATAGCAACTGTGAAGCTTTAGGGCAATTGCAGTAGTTAACGAATAGACACAACTGAACCACTGGGTCAATGGCCACCTTAAGTCCCTCCTTGGGCTGTATGTGAGGTTGCAGCGAAAAAAATTTAAGCATTGTGCCATAACACTCCCTTGGTCTAATTGGGTTTGTATACCCACTAGCCCCTACCATAGCCTGTTTAGGCTTCCAATCCCCCCTAAGTTGGGTTTAATGAAGAAACCTTTTCTTTTTAATTGATGAAAAGAATTTAAGCCTGACATGAATGGAAGTTATTCAAACATTTCTCTTCTTTCCATTTTTAAATGAAGTTCTTTCTTCGCATGTAAACAAAGAAAAAATAAGTTCAAGAGGTATGTTTACGATTGTTTAAAAAATCAATTCAAAAGGTTTATTCTTTTGAGAAAACCAAAGAAGAGATAGTGAAATAAGGAAGAAACGCAGTTTTGATTCCTAATGTTTAGCTTGCGTACCAAAATGATCCTTAATATTTTGACCAAAAAAAAAAAAATCTACTCCACAAAATTTGTGATTTTAGGCAAATATAGAACAACTGACAGAAATCAAATTGGTTTAATCCATTGACAGGCACAACTAACCCATGACCACAATCTCATAGTCCATTTCTTCAAAAGCATCTTCATTCAATTTTTTTTTTTTTAATCTTTAGCAACTTGTTGGTCAATGTCATCATTATTTTGCAGATTCTGTGCCTAAAAACTCAAATGCTAAACATATTGTTAGAAAATGTACGAAGTTACAATAGTGACTTGTCAAACTAATATAAGATTAAGTGATTAATCAAGTTTTCTTCTTACTTGCAGAATGCTCGTTGATGCATGTTGATGTGTTATTGAACTCAAAGACACCACTTCATAACCTTAGTAGAAGTTGGGGTCCAAAGTCTACCAAAATAAATAGAAAAACACACAAATAAACAAAAAAAAAAATTAACTTGCAAATCTATTATACCAAGAAAAAATTAAGATAGCTAAGAAACTACATGTAACTAACAGTTCATATTATATAAACGAAAAGCATGCTGTTTATTTGTGATAATTGTGCCATATTTCTAGTACTTTGCTCATATACTCCATCACATTTTTTTAAAAAAAGAAAACAAACTCCATTGCAAGTTGCTTGCAAACGTTTATGGTAGATGGGCTCAGGCAAATGCCTTTACCTGTTGAAGTCTTACACTGGTGGTTATGATAAATGTGGCTTTGAACACTTTCGGACTTTTGAATATGCAATTTTCGTGATCGGTGGACATTGAGGCTTTTAAGAGAGATGGGGCAACAAGAGTGGGATGGAGTGGTGTGAAATATGAAACAGATGTGTGAAGCTAGTTTCTTGACAGTAAACTCGAATATGACAAACTTTTCAGCCGAACAAGAAAAAAATCTCATCTTATAACTTGGCAGTCATTAGGGGTGGCAATTCGGGTCAAAATCAGGTTGGCGGGTCGGGTTCGGGTCAACCCGTCAGAAAATCTGTTGACCCGAACCCGACCCGCCAACCCGTGACGGGTCAGGTATGCTGACCCGAACCCGAAAATTTCAGGTTGACGGGTTGGCGGGTCGACCCGAAATGACCCGAAACTTAATTTTAATTTATTAATTTATCACTGTAATTTCTAATAAAATCAATTTCTCACAAAACTAATTACATAATCAAGTAATAAAAATTTAAATAAATAATTCCAAACCAAATCTAAAATAAATTAAACACCGTAAAAGTGTTTTATCCCAAACAAAATATAAAATAAATTAAAACAGTATAAAAGTAAAAAATAATATAATATATTATTTATCCAAATATAATAATTTCAACTTCACACAAATTAAATAAATTCATTTAGGAATAAGTAATTAATGACTTTGAAAAAAAGAATAACTTAGTTTAGTTAGATAAAATTATTTTTATGTTTATTAAATTATTTTTAATTCGTAAACGGGTCATATCGGGTCATATCAGGTCACCACGGGTTGACCCGAAATCGACATGTTTTCTTTT